GTTAGACATGGTTAACTAAGATTTTGCACTTTTTGACCAGCAGACCTGGATGAGGATAAAAGTACTTAATATGTCATCGGTGCATGATCCCATACGATGATGAGATCTGTGCTCTGCATCAGACCTATCCCATTCGAGAAACACCCAAGTGGAGCAGCAGCCAGCTGTTTTAGCTGCAGTGAGCAGTTGGGGGTTAGGTGACATTGCGACGTGAACACGGCAGGGAATCGAACCTGTGATTTTCTAGTCCCAGGTCAGCTACCACTGCTCTGCCCAGGTGGTAGAATTGAGGACTATATTCTGGAATAGCTAAATGTGTCCCTAATTCATTCCTGAACAGTGATCATTATTTTGATTTAGTTTTTTCTATACATGTGGTATGCATTTTTATTATAGTTTTTGTTTTGTTGACAGATGATACTTCCATTTTAATGCATTTTTTGAGCATTTTAACACAGGCTCATCAAAACTGTGTTTTATTTTTAAAATCTCTTGTACTTTTTTACATATTTAGGTAGAATCTTTAAAGTCGAACACAACCCTGATTCTATAAAACACCATAAAAGGCTTTTGGCAATTACACAAGTTGTTGAGTAAATAATGGATATTAACCCAAACTGCTGTCAGCTGAGACGGAACTTGTTGTTAATTTTTACTGCACGCATAAAGYTTCAGGCTCAGCTTTGGCCGACCCTTTCAAGGTGTAATTACAGAAAGAACGTGAAGAAAATTGTGTGGCGCCACACCAGCTTCTCTTGGTTGTACAAAGAGACTAGAAAACAAAAGGTCTGCAGAAGAGGAACTTCGATGCAGCAAAGGTATAATCTCTTTTCATTCACTCAACAGTTAGCTTTCACAAACCTGTTAAAGGCTGATTGAACTGAATGTAAATTACCCGATCATTTAAGGCGTAATTTCACAAGAAATTTAAACTATGTGTTGTAAACCTGAGAGGAAAAAAAATGATTTAATAGGCCCCAAACCTTTTTTTTTTCCTTTTCTAAAGAGTCAAATACAGCTATTACCCGATAATTTTTAGTTCAAACCTCCACACATTTCCATCATTTTGCATCTGCAGAATAAAAGCTGTGGAATGCAAATGCTGAATACACATCAAAAAACAAATTTTGTCAGGCTATTTGGGCAATGAGAAGCAGGTGGAGTGCAGAGTAAGGTTGAAGAGGTGTGTGCACGCACGCACACACACACACACACACACACACACACACACACACACACACACACACACACACACAGAGCACTTTGTTCCCTCGGGTAGACCGTGGAGCCGTCAGAACCACTCTGATTTTGAATTAGCTCTGATTGGCCGTCATTGCAGTGTGTTCTGCACAGCTGAGACCACTCAAAACTACACACACAAATACAATCATAAATGCACACAAACACATCCACTTTCATGGTCGGAGCGTCGTGTTTCACTAAACTGCTGAGTTCTCTAGACTGTAACTAAGGCCGTTTTAGGAATTGCGGTATACTACAAGTGTGTGTGCGTTTCAGAATGTGTACTTTTGGATATCTGTTTGTCAAAGACGAGCATGCCTGTGCAGTCTTTACAAATATTCAAGACAGCAGAGTTGTAAGAGACAACTTGCGTCTTCAGGTCCACTTTAGGGCTTTTCATGAAACCAAACTCAGCTAAGCTAAGTCCTAGCCTTCCTTGAAGGAATGCATGTCATCCATCACCCTCCATGTCTAAGTTGCAGACTAAGATCTCATGTAAAAAAATGGCCAAATATTGGCGATTTGACTCCCCGATGTAATCAGTTTTAGATGCTTACTCTTAAAGGGTGAAGTACAGGTGGGCTGTTATGTATTTTCCAGGCACATAGTTCAATTCTAAACCACAATCAAGTAACCAACCTTCAGTTGTTATGAAAAATTTGTATATATCAAAAATTAATTTGACTTTGCATCATAGTCTAAACGCCTTGAAATTGGCCTCTGTGAACCTACTGCCGTTTCTGACACTCCCACTTTAGCACGTCTTCACAGCAATGCTTCAGTGGAGGGGTGCTCTGTGGGGCGGGAGCTCTGCTGCAGACCGAGCTCCAGGGAGGAGCTTTGTGTAAATAGGCGGAGCTTTGTACCAGCAAGTGTTTAGGCAGCTCCACGCAGGAGATTCAATGATTTCTCAAACATGCATGAACGARTCAAAGCWACACTCTGGGTATGATTTTGAGAGGCTCGTTTGCACAACACCCCACCCATTAAAAYTCATYTAGTGGTTCACGAGATATTKTGCTAACGGTACAAAYAYCCCAAACAATAAATACTGTCTGTCACATTTAACGTAATATAATCTGCAATAGTGTTCTATTCTTTGCACTGTGTGAACGCTGTCATGTCTAAGTGAAAAGACAAAACAACTTCACATTTCAGCATGGCATTATGACTCATGTAAAATAAATAAATAAATAAATAAATAAAATGATTAAACAGTGTGAGAATATCATGGTGTTTACTGTTAGATAGAGTCATACAGTAATAACCTTCTGATTAACTGAATCACTCATTAAGTGTTAGTGAACTGTCATCACAGGGGCTAACTTCTGAAGGAAAAAAAGTAATTTAACGAAAAACAAAACTGCTGTTATTTTATTCCGCAATTTATGCACAAGTCCAACATGTTAGGTATATAAATGTCCCACTGACTCCACAAGCATGTGCACTAAGTAAGAGAAATGTTGACTGTGGGATCCAAAAGAAACAGAACCAGACTCCTTTAAAGGCCTTTCAGTGCCAACAAAAACTGGTGGAGCTACACTGACTCAGTTTGGGACTTCTCCGCCCCCCTCCCCCTCCACGTTATGTTAAGCTATAAAAAAATTGTTTCCGTTTATATTTTCTCTTGAACTTAAACTACATAGCAGTAAGCAGAATTTTTTAAAAAACAACATGAAACGTTATTGCTTTATGATCAGATTTGTTCTGTAATTGGCCCATTGGAAATAAATGGTTAAACTGTAACAGAAAAGACTCAGAGAAGTTTATTTGTGCTAAGATTACATCAGTGTTGATTACTAATAATGCGAGGAGTTGCATTTTGTGGACTTGTTTCTTAACTGCAACAAGACGGTGTTTTCCTCTTGGAAACAAAAAGCACAACCCTGATCAAAAATGTCATCTATGGAGATTTGATTAATTAAG